TTTTAGATGCGCGATGTTGAATTGAATCCAATTTCTGCTTAGAGGATACGGATGCCGGGGCCCAGATTGGGGCAGCATATTCAAGTACGGGTCTAATGATAGAGTATGCATTTTTTAAGGTTCTTGGTCTTGATCCCGGAGTAGTTCCGCAGAGTTTTTTAAGAATGCTCAATTTTCTGAGTCCTTTGATAGTAGTGTGCTCAATATGCTTTGTAAAACGAAGTTCATAATCTAGGGTTACGCCGAAATAGGTAGGGAAGATGACTCTTTTGATGTTGTAGTTTTCGATTTTAATATCTGCATTAAAAGTGCCTCTATGCCGTCTGTCAGTGGAGAAGATACAATAGTTTGTTTTATCAGCATTAATTTGAGATCTTTTGCCCAAGCTGCAATGCATTTCAGGGTTTTGTTTAAAGCTTTTTTTGAGACTGCAATATCTCTGTGTATGCCATAGGACGATGTCATCTGCATAACATGCGATTTTCGTGTCTGGGTGGATATGGGGGAGTATGGTATTCATGTATAAAAGAAAAAGGGGACTGAGCATGGAGCCCTGAGGTACTCCAGCCCAGAGTCTGTGTGACTTAGAGAGCACGCCATTGAACTTAACAGAAAATTTTCTGCCTCTGAGAAAATCGTTGATCCAGAGCAGTGCATTACTTTTTATACCAGAGCTATGGATAATGTCAACTAGTTTTTGTCGCCAAACTCGGTCGAAAGCTGATGATGGATCTAGGAATACGGGAAACGTTTTCTCATGAGGATTTTCTTCAAAACCATTGATTATTGTTTGGCTTAGGTAAAGCAGTTGGTCAACAGTACTATGATTGGTAAGATAGACTGTCTGATAGAAATGAAGAAAGTTGTGTTCCGTGAGGAATTTTGTAAGGCGGCTGTGGATAATTCGCCCCATTAGCTTACAGAGTATACAAGTCAATGAGATGGGTCTGTAACTCTTGCAGCTGGTAGCATCCTTTCCTGGCTTTAGGATAGGAATGATGACAGAGCTCTTCCAAATTTTGGGTAATTTACCACTGCGCCAGGAGGTAAAAAATGTGTCACAGATACATCGATGTCAACACAAATCGATGTCACAGCGTTTTAAAAAAGTCATCCGTTGGAGTGTGTGTGTGTGTGTGTGTGTGTGTGTGTGTGTGTGTGTGTGTGTGTGGAAGAGCAACTAAATAATATTTTTATATATTATTTGAATTTATTTTTATGTTTTGTCGAATACTTTGTTTAACAGCCTTTGAATCAAATAAGGGTCATTTTACTAATTTATTACATTTTAATGCATTGCAAAAGATGCTGCATTTAATACTGAATAATTTCTGGTTTAAAATCAATAAAAAATAGTTTGTTTTATATATACAGTTTTTATTTACTAATTCAATATTTACAGAAGTCTTTATATGTCGAATACTTATTTTGACCACTGTAATGAAATACCCTGTGATAATACTTGTGAGGAATGGAGTTTTACAAGCGAAGATCGTTTCTAAGCCTGAATTTGAAAAATAAGATTATGGCCACCGAGGAAGATGTGGTAAAAGTAGCTAAAATTGGAACTTTATTGCCTTTGGTGACAAATTTGAAGAACAATGATATCGCTCCAAGGAATAATTTAGAAGTCTCTACGTACATTCGTTGATAAAATTTCCGTGAGGCTATATAAGGGACCTTTGAGGGAAAGGGAAAGTCAGTCGAGACAACAACGCATTCATGCGCATTGATTGCGATAAGAGAGATACTTTATCTGTCTTAATTCCTTCTAGTGGAAGTCACCTGTTGAGTAGTAGCAATCTTTGAGAGTTTAAAAAGAAAGGGAGAAAAATAGGAATATTTTACACTTATTTCCCATGTAAAAAAGAAAGCTAGAACAGAAATATGCAGAACGTTTTAGGAAAAATTCATAGTTTAATTTTATTGTTAAAATTGTAACTTTTTTTAAAGTTTGCAATTTTTTAAAGGGTTAATTACAAGGGCCATATTATGGGTAATCAAAAATAATTGGTTTTTGCTCATTGATTCGTTGTTTTTAACTTCCCAATCTGAAGCTATACGAAGGCTTTTGGCAAATAACATCGTAATTTTATACCTCGGTTTAAATGGCGATAATGATCTGGCCACCAGCTATCCAAACTTCCTCAACACACCAATGTGAAAACTAGAACTTGGACATAGTTAACACATCAACCAGCTAAAGGGCACGTCTTCAGAGAAACTAAACTTTGAACCTACGATTTAAGACCATGAGCACTCGACAATTCCGGCTATTGAATTGGTTTTTCAGGTATAAAATGCCAGACTACTTTCAAACAAATCTGCTGTTACATATGTTGAAATGCATCTTACTGTTTTTCAGGTAATGTGTCTGACGGTAAACCAATTTGCTTATTCTTTGCTCATATAACCTCCATAATGAATCCTTATGCTTTGACTGTGGACTATATCTGAATAAATTAGAAAATGCAAATCTTTTCATAAGCATTTAATTATTTTGTTTTTTAGATCGTCATAAAGGTGCATAAAAATAAAGCGCTTTTAAAAAACTCTAAAGTAAGATTCGATTGACAAAAATCGGTCAAAAATTCAAACAATTTTTTATTCATTATATGTTATAACATTTATAGTCTCATTTTTATATTATATAATTTATAGTCATTATTCACTCAATACGTTTCTGTCATCTCACAAAATTTGATAGCTCTAAAGTTAGAAAATGCAGAGTTATGGTAATTTCTATGATTGTTTTTATTCACATCCTAATAAAAAAAGATTTCAACGGATTTAACCTAGAAAGAAGAACTATATATATATATATATATATATATATAATATAAACTCATGTATCTTCATTTAAAATACTAAGGAATTTTTCATATTGTACCCAAAGCTTTGATTTTTTTTATCGATTGCTAACAGCACGTGTAACAAAATCTGGTAATTATTTTAGAAGCAAAGGAATATTAATTTTTCTGAAAATAGCCTAATTTATAGTTTACATCTTTTTTAATGAATTTTCGGAAAGCATTCAGAAAAAAAGTATTAAACGTATATCAGTCATACTACCAATAAACCTATACCCTTTTGTTATACATAGTGTGAAGTCTTCGATTGGGATGAACCCCACCCTTACTTCCAAGCCAAGTTATATGGTTCAGAGCAGATGTATGAGTGACCAGTGCACGTGGCCATGGGGTCATTATATATTGTTTGACCTCGGAGAAGCGCCGACCCCCAGACTGGCAGTCATAATAGTCAAAGAGGTGCCTGCGCATATTGACAAATGGCGAAGCCTGTCCAAGAAGTACACTCCCGCCTCGGCAGATATCAAGAGAATGGGTTTAAGAAACAAAGAAATGTGATGAAGAAAATGCCCAGATGTTTCACGAGAATACTGGCGCCTTAACATCCCCTGCCGGGAGTGTATTTATGTGTTCCGCACAAATAGAACACTAATGAGGCCCAGGGACGAGGGCAGACTTTTGTGGCCTGCCAATGATAAGGGACGAGGAGCGTGGTGTGGACCCGCCCCTAGTATTTAAAAGGAGTTTTTTTAAACGACGAGGGTAGAGCCCTGGAAAAAGGGACTTGAACAGAGGAGGAGAGAGACGGGAGCCAAAAGAGAGGTCTGACTTGGGGAGGGCAGAGACGAACTAGGATTAGACTCGGAGCTAGAAGGGATTTATCTGATCGGACGGAGGAAAGAAAATGAACACGGGTGGCGTTGTAGGTGTTATGAAAACAACTTCTTAAAATTACGGGCAAGTGTCCTTCGGACAAAGCAGTCCGATGAAGTAACTGATTTATCCTGTGAAGTAGACTGAATGCACCGGCTTGACGTATAAACTGTACATTTTTTCATCGTTCATAAGTAATGTTGAGTGAATAAATAAATGTTTAATTTTAAAATTAGGTTGTGATAATTTTTTGTTTATTATCTACTCATGATGTCACAGTAGCTTGACGTATGTATGCGCATCGATGATTGTAGGAGGAGTAGCATTTTGAATTTCTTCTAAAAACTTAAGGTATCTGACTACTTGCGACAACTTTTTTTTGAAAAAATGGGGATATGGAGTTTTTTTGTGGTTTTTATATTTATTTACTTTATTTTAAGGAAAAATTCTAAAACTGATAAAAGAAAAAAAATATTGTTTTTAAAATGGGAAAAAACTAGTAAAAATGTACAAAAAATTACATAAACGGGTCCCTCTCTGTACAAAGATTTTATGGACAAATTCTCAACTTTTCAATTTTGATGTGCTACTTTGTTATTCCTGTTTGAAATGACCTTCAAGATAAGAGATATTTTAATTTTTACCAAAACTAGAGCACTTTATCTTAGTCATTATACGAAATTGCTTAAAAAACATTGACTATATTCACAATAAGGACTGCAAATTTTGAAATAAAACAGCTATTGATAAATCTGAAGATCAAAACACTTCTACTGTTATGCAGAACATGAGCAAAAAATTTCAGCCAATTATTTTTAAAATATTTTGAGCAATCGCTGTCCCCGTTTGAGTTTTTCGAAAAAAAACACATTTTGAGTAAAACGCATTTTAAAGTTTGACACCTTGTGTAAAGTTATGGCGTCTGCTTTTACTAAAACGCTTGTAGTTTTTGTTGTAGTGGAGGGAAAATAAAAAACTTTGTATTGTTATTAAGCTGGTAAGATAGACTATAAAATAAAGTCATTAAAAAATTTTGTCAATTTTTGAAAAAGATCATGATTTTAGGGTAGTCGGATACCTTAAGAACTTTTCTTTAAAAAAATTACTGATTAGTGTTTTGTAATACTTTGAGAATAAAATCTCTTTTACATTGGTTACAAGAGCACAAACAAACTGTAAAAACCATTGAATCAAAGTTTTTTGTCGAAAACGTCGCATGTTTTCTTAAATAACATGAAGCTATGAGATATACATGTTAGCATTGCTGTTGGAATATTAAGTGTGACTATCAGCAAAATACAAGCCGATGGTCGTCAATATGGCATAGTGGTTAGTGATGCTGACTTCTGTGCAGTAGGGCCTGGGTTTGAACCCCGGATAATGCATGGAATGTTTGTAAATATGTAGTACCTTTGCGGCATGGGAGGTACTCTAAATAGCCATCGAGCCCAAGTCCTCTCGCGAGGTTGGTGGGAGGCCTCTGACTCCCCCAGGGTGTTTTCCCTCAAAATTGGGATGAAACCGATCTAAATCATACTATCAACTGCATGGTGTTCAAGACTACAAAGAACGACAGACGTACATCTAGCCCTCCGCCATGATGATTTCCGTGAGCCTGGATCTGACACAGTTAAGATAAGGAGGCATAAGAAACGACAGCAAACCTAGTGAGGGAGTGTTTACTAACATCGTGATTTAAAGCAACACGAGGGTTATTGACGATGGACCTCGTTATTTTGAACCACGTTTAAGTGACGAAAGAGGGGCCTGAGCTGGCATCTCCCCTTTAAACTACCACACCACTTCACTAGCCCTTCCACGTGCATAAGCCACTCTACATGGCGGATCTTCAGCACCACTAGTGCTATAACTTATGACTCGCCGGCCATGAGATCTTTACTTTAGACTACCACGATTACCGAATACAAACCGAAAAACTCATTAAACAGTGGTTACAATTTCAAATACTCTTTCTTTACAGTGATTATTTCTCTAAGTGATATCAAGCTGTGCACCTGTATGCACAGGTATTAACACTATCCAGGGTGATTCTAAAATTATGGAACAAACTTTGAGGAGCGGTAAAGCGCTTTTAGACAAAGTGCCACGTTGAGGCACAAATAAAAAAAATAACACATTAACGCAGCGTTTCTCTAAGTGCGGGATGCACCCCCCTCCGGTAACCCTACGTGGGGAGGGCATCAGCATGTAAAAAAAGTTTAAAATAAAAAAAATTATTTAAAATTATAATTTATTTACTGAAGAGAAGCAAAACAAAATACACAATAATGTACGAGTGCTGCACGATTTATTAGATAATTTATCAATACAAAGTTAAGAGTAGGTTTAATAATTGCTTGCAACTTTTTTAATGAGTTTCTCATAAACAAAATTTAATACGTATCTTGAAATTTGTGCAGTTTATAATCAAAGTCATATTGCAGCTATTCATCATTGTCCATTATTACTGCATTCAATACATTGTTATTCTACTGAGGGACGGGGGTACGATGTGTATTGGGTCGAAAACATTGAAAGTTTGAGAAACACGGCATTTACGGAAATATAAAATGTTCATTAACCAGCATACTTAAAGAGTGATTCCGTAGAGAAAATGATAAAACAGTTTTAGAAATTGCATTCAACAACCGTCATGCATTCTTGAAGATCTTCATGGTGGCATTGGCTGACAATGTTGGCGATAGTTGAAGGCAGCAAAGCGGTGTACCAGTGATCTGTTACGCCATTAAAATCAGCAATTTCTTTTGAGATTTCCGGTCGTTATGGGTGATTTTACTAATAGCAAAAAGGCAACCATGCATCTAAAGTACCATGTTGTTAATGATAACGGTAGAGTAGTGCTACGGCTGTATCAGGAACGCTTGCCAAGAAGAGCCACAAAATGTTTAACAAAACCGACAGCCGTATGAAAATGGTTCATTTATCGCCAGTGCCAATGGAAAGGGTCGATCGAGGACTATATGACCAACACATGTGGGAAGAAATCATCTTAGACCCTGTGGACAACACACCCGGCACAAGTAAAATGGTTGAAGCATGTCATCAATCAACCCTTTGGAGAGTTTTGCTGTTAGGTGGATGTAATTTGTAAAAGTGGTAATATTTATGTTCGGAATCACTCGTCCAGAATACTGCTAACGAACAGTGTATGTTCCCGCTTTTGTGCTTCAACGGGGAACTTCTGCCCATATATTCCTGTACAAAAAGTACGTTTAGTGAGCTCTACCACCCTTCGAATTTTGTCCCATCATTTTAGAGTACCTGTATTTGCAGTCAATAAGATGTGTATAATAATCACAAACCTTCGTCTCATTCTAAACGAAACATATGACAAAACGATTTTACATAGTTTCCATACAAATTAAATTTTCCCTTAAGTGATTCCTTTTAATTTATTAATGTTGTATGTTTTTCTTAATTATATTTCTTTCAATTGAGAAGAAATATATCAAAATAAACTTCTCCATTCCAAACTACGCGTTTATTTTATTCTCTGAACAACAAATGTGAATTAACAGAAAAAGCAGTGACACAATTGAATGTTTATTCATGAACTTGTTTTTTTTAACCGCATTACTTTAATAATGGAATATAATCAATCATCTGCGTAGGCGTGTTGACAGCTTCGGGCAACGTTATTCACGCACGATGTCATTTATATGTCAAAAGAGATAAAACGTCGACACTCTAGATTCCGTTGACTTTATTTTCGATGACAAGAATGTGGCCGCGGTAGCCGAGTGGTATAGGTATCGGATCGTGGCTTGCCTTGTCACGAGTTCGAGCCCAGTACCACTAAAAACCCGCCGTGTAGGCCAGCGATGCACGTTTAATCTGTCGAGAGCTGAAACGTCCTCCCGTGTGGTAGTTAGGAGAGGGGGTGCCACGTCACTTGACCATGGTTCAAAATTACATGGTCCGTCGCCAAAAGCCATCGTGTAGCTGAACAGTGCGACGTTAAAAATTCAATCAATTCGATGACAAGAAAGAATTAGAATTGTAAAGATGTCATTTTGTCTACTTAGAAATAACACCTGTATCTTTAAATAGTACGTTAGATGTTATTGCTTTTCCAAGCATTGCTAGCTTGTCTTGGATAATCTATTTTTCTACGTATCCCTTTGTGTATTTTACAGAAAATTTGATTTGAAAGAAAAATTTGTAGGACAATTTGCTTATTTCAATTTATCACATTTATCATACGATCGATTATTCATACGGATTACTATGCTTAATGTTTTTTGTAACAGTGATGTATAGTAGAAAAAATCCATAGCAATAAAAATATTACGAGGGGGACCCGAAAAATAACGGAATCAAACTGCTGCGTGAGCATGCCTGATTGTTATGAGTTGTGATGTTAGTTGGTGTTAGTTGGTGTTAGAACAGCGGTCAGAAAAACTTTTGACCTTACGGACTAGTAAATTCATAATTTAAATCCCACGGACTACTAACAGGACTTTTTGAAAGTTAAATATACTTATAAAAATTGTGATCCAAGAACGCAGCCAAAGCATCTTAAAACATAACTTAACATAAGTGAGTATATTCCATATTTTTCTGGGAATCAGAGAAAATTTCTCGCGAAGCATTAGTGGTCCACGGACTACCATTTTGGTGACCTATGTATTAGATGATGATCTGTCGTGACCGTAAATGATCTGGTACTAGTTTGATAAGTGAATAACTTTTGGTGCGCTGTTGCGTGCGTTCCTGATTCAATCCTTTGGCGATTAGTAAAATGGCCAACCACAAAGAACAAAAGTTTTGTGTCGAATTTTGTTTTATATTGGGAAAACTGCAAATGAGACCATTGGCGAAAACTTTAATGGCGATGATTTGGGAAAATCACAGGTCTATGAATGGTTTTCCCTTTCCAATCTGACAATATTTCAACTGAAGGAATACCACGTGCCTTCCTTCTACAGGAAGAAATTAAAAAACATTACAAAATATAAATGTTTAATTGATTCAGATCTTCGAAAGACCATTGATCACGTTTCTGAGGATACGAACGTGTCTTGGAGCACGTTCATGTCAATGCTCCAGCCAACACAGCTTTGATTGTTCGACAGTTTGACAATTAGTAATGTGGATGAAATCAAAGAAAACACACTAACGCAGTGCTTCTCAAACTTTCAATACTGGCGCCCCCTTTTCAATCACAATTTTTATCGCGCCCCCCTTATACATTAATAATGTACTGAATGTAATAATAATGCACTTTGACGCTAAAGCTACTATACGCGATCTTAATTATAAACCATACAAATTAATAGCATAAGTATTACAGTTTGTATACTTTTTTTTTGTGCAAAATAAATAAATTAATTAAGTAAGACAGTGCTTCTCAAACTTTCACTACTGGCGACCCAATTTTCAATCATAATTTTCATCGCCCTCCCCCAATAATAATGTATTGAATGCAATAATAATGCACTTTGAGTATTAAATTTTGTATGCGTTACTTTTATATAATATATATTTTAAGCAAATTACTTTTAAGTAATAATTATAATGTTATGTTATTTTTCCTTTCTTATTTTTTAAATTGGGACAGATTGCAAAATGACATTTAATTAAAAATTTATTTCGTCCATCATGCATTTCTAAAAGTACAAATGTCATTAGAACAAGTAATATAAAAAATAAATTTTAAGTCAATTCCTACTTAGGCCAACAAAGAAAAACTTATTTTAGTTACTTTCTATTAAATAGTCTCAATTAATACAAATATGTAATACATATGACAGAATCACAATGTTAAGCGACAAAAGAGAAAGCGATTTTCCTTGCAATTTTTCCTTTTCTTTTCTATATATGGGGTATTGAATATTCTTTTATCGTTACTATTTATTCATTAATTAAATTTAATTAGTGTAAGAAAACAGTAAAGTAAAGAAGAAATCACACACATTCTTAGAAATTAGGCCATCTCGGATGGAATTCGAACTACCGTCCTTCAGATTAGAAGCCCAGCGCGCTATCCATTGCGTTACAGGGGACAGCACGAAAAGTTTTCCTTTCTATAAATGCTTTTGGACTATAATTTTTGTTTGTTACTATTTATTCATTTTTTAATTTAATTAATGAATTAAAATTTGAAAGAACTGTATTAACATGAAGTGTCACCCACTACAAGTTTTACAAAATGTATTTGAACTTGAATGAATGAATAGAAAGTATTTTATCAACGATTGAAAATTTGAACAAGATATATATGAGAGAGTGAACTTATAGTAGAAATTGAAAAATAGTGTACTTTATGTTGCGCTCTCTCATATCTATCATATCTGGCATTCTCGCGAGCGTCTGCATGAGTCTGGCCAAACTATCGGACGTCTGCGCAAAACATGTAAT